TATCGGGCGTGCGCGAAATGCTCCAGTGAGTAACGGCAGGCAGGAAGGCCAGAGGATAGATATATGATGCTGAGATTAGGTGTTTGAGTTATCATTGCTGCTAATTAAATTGATACTATGAGCATGTGAGATAACTCCGTAGCCATCTGGCTCAAGTCTGTATTTTTACTCTCCATTTTCACATGAGTACTAGTCGCGTTGAGGAACCGTCCAAACCAACCGAGTCGGCCGACCGTAACATGGTGACAGCTGGTGGCGGTTCGACGCTCAAGATGGACGACGCGGATAGTAAATCCGAAGCGGCTAGCAGTACCATGGGAGCACTCTTAAAGGATGAAGAATCCTACAAGAAAGAGCTCACGAAAAGGAGAGTCCTACGAGGCAGATTGAGAGGCAAAATTCAGAAGGTCCAAGCGGCGATGGAATGCATCATCGTACCAGAGGACCAGGAGACCACTGAAGAGCTGGCGACATTAGAGATACAGGAGAGTCTTCTGCACGATCAACTTCGAAGAGCAGAGAAAGATATCGCGGAGTTACAGGAGCTGAGACAGGGAGTGGTGTCCGAATTGGGGAAGGAAGAACATCGCTCTAGGGCATCGCGATCGGTTTTTTCTTATGACGATCGTGATGGTACCTCTACTTCGGAGGTCTACTTGCCTACGGTATCAGGAAAGGAGAAGTTTCATCAGTCCGAAGACGAGATCAAACCAAGAACTGAGAATGCGGACCGCAAGGACAACTGCGGAACGAGAGACTCAAGGACAGTCCCAGGTAGGGGGGAAACTCGCCGCGCTAGCGTAGTAGTCGCGAATGCATCTCCAAGATTGTTAGCTGAAATGCCAGTGCCACAGAGTCTCACAAATGAGGGTAGGGATTATGGTGTGTCGAGCCAGAGGGGATATGTGCGACGGGAACCCAGAGTAGGGATCAATACACAGGGGGTTTCGAAGTTAGCATTGCCACAGTGTGAGGATATCCTTGATCTAGATTCTCATTTTGAGGTTGTTGAGGGGATTTTACAAGAATCTGGGGCTGGTAGCTATTCAGAGGGTACTGATGCACGGTTACTGTTCACAGTACGTGATGATATCCGGATGGCATGTGTGGGAAAACTACTTACTACCCTTCCATCGGGGGCAGTGAGGGACTGTGCAAAAAGAGCGGCTCAGAGATCTAAGTATTGTTGGGAGCGAATCAAGGATCAGCTACGTTGTCGATTTTGTAAGAGAACGGCTATAATTGGGAACATCCGAGAGTCATTAGCAAAGCTCAGCTATGGTGGTCCTGGTAAGGTAGATCAGTTCTTGGACTCGGCTGAGACGATTGTACTTCGGTGTCATAAGGCGTATAAGGATAAGAGTGAGACGTTCAGGGTGGTCAGAGCGATAGT